GGACACGTGACACACGCCACCCTGCTCGGTTTTGCAGAGGCCAAAGCCCACAGCCCAAGCTCCTCGGACCCAGCGCCGGCCCTGCTCCACTAACTGTTGGCGGGACGCTGTGAAACTGTCACCCTCCTGACCCTTACGCTGTAACCCCCACACTCCGACCCCCGCCCTCCAAAGCTGGGACTGTGCTTGGTAACACTCCATTCTTTTAACAGTAGAAGGGAGTTAGAGCCTGACCCGTTCCCTGACCCCGGGTCCAGAGCTCATCTCACTCCCCAGAGAGAGCGGAGCCAGGCCCAGCCTCTGCGACAGGTGGCAGGTGCCCGCACCCTTCCCGGGCAGACACCTGCTGCGAATCCAGGGGGCCACAAACTGGAGCTCTGAAGGCCGAGGCCGGCCCACAGGCGGTTTGGTGGGGGCTCAGTGACTTCAGGTTGAATCTGAATGCTCTCCGGCACTTTCCGCTCACTCCCACCACGTCCTACTCATTTAAACCCAGCATGAGCCTTTCATGTCTGGCCCGTAGACAACTGAGGTGCAAGTCCAGAGGGTGGCAAAGTTTTTCTATAAAGACCAGAAAGTAAATATTATGGGCTTTGTGGGCCAAGGGGCAACATCGAGGCTATTGTGTAGGTACTTCTATAACTAAAGTGCACACATTTCTTATTGAAGAAATTAAAAACGTTAATTATGGACATTGAAATTTGAATCTCATGTAATGTCCATGTGTCATGACATATTTTTTTCTGGATTCTTTTCAACCATTTAAAAATGAGAGAGCCATTTTTGGTTCATGGGCTGTGCTAAGACAGACAACCGGCTGGATTTGGCCAGTGGACTGTATGTGGTTGCTAGCCCCTGCCCTGGACAGTCCCCAGGCAAGGCAGCTGCTCAGACGGGGGACAGGGAACAGGGAAGAAGCAGAGTGGCTCCCGGCTCGTGCAACAGGGCTCTCGGGTCCCAGGCGAGGGCCCCGCCTCAGGATTCCCACGCTCCAGGCTCCAGGACTCACTGAGCTCACCGACACCCCAGCCTCGACCACCTTACCTTTAAAGTCAAACCACCACTTGAGAGAGGGCCTTTGGGACGGGAAGAAGAATAATATGGTGACAACGGCCACGCCGGTTACAGCATCAGAAGTAAACCTACAATGACAGACAAGGCCCCACAGCATGTGACCCTGGGCATCTCAGCAGGCCAGGCCTTGGCAGATTTACTAATGAGGATTTGTGGGAGGGAATTAGGGCCACTGTCAGAAGCCTCTGGATTCTATCCTACAGTGAACTCAGCATGGATGGGACCCCCCCATGGATACAAAAGCCCTTTACCCACAGCTCCTTGGGGCTTTTAGATCCTGCTTGAGCCAAACACTTTTCCTCCCAAGTCAAGGACACTAGGTAAAGGGGCTTGACTATGGAGGAAAGAATCTGAGAGCCACAGAATACTGGGGTCTGTGGAACCCCCATGAATCACTGTAACTAGGGTTCCTATAACAGCCCTGTATTTGTTCAGCTTCTGTTTGCATTCCTCCTGGGATGGGCAGCTTACTACATGGACATGGAGCTCATTTACATCAGCAGAGCCCAGATGGAACCAGACTCATAGCCCCCCAAAACCTAACTACCACCTTTCAAGGATCCACAAGGTGTCCTGTGGAGATGCTAAGCTCACAAGGTGTCCTGTGGAGATGCATGGGGCAGGCATCTTCTATTTCAGATGAGGAATCTAAAGCTCAGAGAGCACAGCAACTTGCTCAAGGCCAGACCATGGTCCATGGAGGAGATTGCTATTGAACCCAGACTTTCCAAGCTCCAAGTTCAAAGAAGCTCAGGGCCAATTACTAACACAAGCTTTTTCGCCCACACATTTGGGAAGAAGAGTACTTAAATGGCCAAGAGACTGGAAAAGATGGTCAATATAGCTATATTAGAGACATATAAATCAAAACACGAATGGAGTACCATTCTATTTTTACCTCTGCAAACAGGCAAACTTGAAAAGGGTGATAACACCTAATGAGGATATTAGGAAACTTATGGGGGTGGGGGGAAAATAAATGTTTAACCTTCCAGAGGGCAGCTGGCAATATGTTTCAATAGTTTATGTGAGAATACTCCTTGACCCCGTTATTGTAGTTCTAGGAATTTATCCTCAGGAAATAATTGGACTCTTGTATACAGATTACATACAGAAATATTCATTTGATATGAGTAAAAAAATAGGAATGCTTAGTAGAGACATGTTCAAATAAATTGTATTTAATAATATATACAATAATATGTATATAATGAAATACCCTGCATCTGTTTTTTAAATATATAAGATAATATCAATCTTTATGTATTGGCATAAACATACAACCAAGAAACCTTGTAAATTTTTTAAAAACCAAGTTTTTATTGGAAGTATTGGACACAATCTGAAAGGAATTGATAAAATAAATTAAGACACTCCCATTCTATAGAATACCATGCAGTGTTTAAAAAGAATGAAATAGCAAGTTGTCCATGATCCTATAATTATATTTTCCAAATTTTTGTTATGTCTATGTGTCTGTATTAATGTGTGTGTGTGTGTCTACCTGAAACGTTATATACCAAATTTTAATTGTGAACATCGCTGGGGAGTGGGGCAGAGGGGAGACAAAGGGCAACTAAATTTGCCTTTTTCTCTCCAGCACTGTTTGAATTTTTTATAATGAGTCAGCGTAACTTTTATCACAAAACAAACAAAAAAGCAGGTCACACACAATATGTTCACTATAATCACATTTCTGTTAAAAGAATGTTGTATTGCCCGGCCGGGCGTGGCTCAGCGGTTGAGCGTGGACCTAGGATCCAGGCGATCGGGGTTCGATTCCCGGTCAGGGCACATGCCCGGGTTGCGGGCTGCAGCCGATCAATGACTCTCTCATCATTGATGTTTCTATCTCCCTCCCTCTCCTTTCCTCTCTCTGAAATCAATAAAGATATATTAAAAAAATAATAAAATCTTGTGTTTATGTTTAGATAGGTTTCTTTCTAGTCAGTTTGCCTGTGTTTTTAAAATTAGTTTTACTGAAATATGTAATTAACATGGAATAAAACGCACCTGTTTTAGGGATATAATTAAATGAGTTCGACTAATGTACTGTCTTGTAACCAGAAGGACAACCAAGTTGTAGAACGGTTCCCAGAGAGGCATTATTTTTAAGTCAGAAAGGATGTCCACCAGATCTGGAGACAAAGATTCTAGGTGATTTCCACTTTCTTTGTATTGTTGAAATGTTTATAACCCCCATTTTTCATCTGAAAAAAATAACCAAGTACCTACATTTTGGAAAAATAAAAGAATGGCAATAAGAACCTCTTCTCTTGGCTCCGTGAAATTGTATTGTTTCTCCCTCATAACAACCCTCATGAGATCAGAACTTATATTGCCCATTTTACCAGAAGGGAGACTGAGGCTCCAAGGTGAAGTGCGCAGAGCTGCTCTATCCAGCATGGTGGCCAGCGGCCACGTGTGGTTGGTGGACACTTGAAACGTGGCAAGACCAAACTGAAAAGCACACACCAGATTTTGAAGATTTCATATGAAAAAAATAAAATCTCTCAAAAATAATTTTGTATGGATTACATGTTGCAATAATATACTGTTACAAAAAATAGATTACAAAAATCAATTTTATCTGTTTCTTTTGACTTTTTTAGTGTGGCTATTAAAAATTTTTTAATTACACCTGTGGCTCTTCTTATACTTCTATTGAATGAGACCTGATGAAAATAATCAGATCTCACCAAATCCAGAGAACGCAGCTCCCCCTTACTCATGCTCTAACCAGAATCTGACACAGCTGCCCACTCGCTCTTTCTTAAAACCCTCCCTCTCTCGGCCTTTGCTAGTTCGTGGCTCCAGGTTTTCTGCCCATCTCATGGGCTGCTTCTTCCCCATTTCTCTAATGGAATCATTCTCTACCCAGCTCCTAAATGTTGGGGTTCCTCAGATTCTACTACACTCTCCATATACTCTTTCCATAGCTGAGCTCACCAGTTCCTATGGATTTAAATTCCAAAATTATATGATGGCTCTCAGATTTAGATCTACAGCCTGACATCTCTGTGCTCGGGCTTGCACAGTCAACTGTCCATTGCAATATTTGAAAGACATATTAGACTTGATACATCTAAACCAAGCTCAAAATAGAATTGTTGATGAGGCACCCCCAATCTCTCCAAAGAGCACCATCTATGCGGGTCCTCCTTTCCCTCGTGCCCCCAAATCCAGCCATAGCAAGTCCTATCATTTCTAACTCAGAATATATCTTGACTGCTCTATCTCTGCTACCTGTTTCATTCAAGCTATTGAAGCCTTCGCCTAGATTGGGGTCATTAAATGCCTTCTGGAAAGGGCCACACAATAAATATTTTTGGTTTTGCAGGCCATGTGGTTTCTGTCGTGGCTCAACTTTGATGTCATAGCATGAAAGCAGCCAGAGACAGTATGTAAATGAGTAGACACTGACCTTTGAATTTCATATAATTTTCATGTGCTGCAAAAACAGGGTGAGGCAAAAATAAGTTTACAAAAGTAAGTTGTTTGTATGGAAAATGATACAATAATTAATAATACACGAATAAACTTTTGCGTACTCACAACTGTAAACTTACAGGGTGGGGCAAAAGTAGGTTTACAAAAGTAAGTTTTTTGTATGGAAAATGATATAATAATTAATAAATAATAATACAAGAATAAACTGTGTTTTGCATACTCACAACTGTAAATCTACTTTTGCCCCACCCTGTATTGTCCTTCGATTTTGCAGATTACAGGTGTCATAGCTCCTAATTGTTCTCTCACCTGTATTTTTTGCCCCCACTATCCATTCTCTAATAAATAGAATTAATGTTTGACTGAGTTCTTCCTATGAGCAGTTTTAATCGTTTGATATGTATTAACTCATTTATCCTCAGAACAATCCAATGAGAAGTGTACTATTACAATACCATTTTACAGATGAGGACACTGAGGCACAGAGAGGTTAAGTAACTTAAAACCCTCCAATAGCTTCCCATTGCTCTCATTAAAAAAGACCAAAATGCTTAACATGTCCCGCAAGGCCTCCGTGATCTGGCTCTCACCTTCCCGTCCAGCCACGTCTTGCCCACTTTCCTCCCTTCTCTTAGGCACCGGGCTTGGTCACCCTGGGCTTCCGTCAGTTCTTCAAATGTCCTAAGTTGGTCCCTACCTCAGGCTCTCAGTAGACATGCCCAGTGTGTCTCCAGTTTCTACCTTACTCTTCCGAACCTTTGGTTCTTCCCAGAACTATCCAAAGTCAAGGCCCTTGCTCCATTCTTTCATAATTTCACCCTCTCACCCTTTCGCTGCACTCATTCCAATAAGGTATTCTCTTGCCTAACTACTTGTTTATGTCTGTGTCCCCAGCACCTAGCATAATGCTTAGGCCATATTAGGCCCTCAATAAATGTTGACTGCGTGAGTGAATGAATGAATGAATGAATGAATGACATGATCGGGGCTGCACAATTTGTAAGTGGCAGAGCTGCCACTGGAACCCAGTTTTGTCTGATTTCAAAGCCAAAGCTCTTAACACATGAGAACCCAAATGTCTTATCATCCAAATAAAACTCTTTTGAGAGCCAAAGAAGGAGCCGTTAATAACCCCCAGGGACAAGCGGAATGAACCTGGCACAGGTCACCCCTACCGCACGGCCTGTCCAGCTCCACATGGCCCGTCCCAGATCTTCCCTGTTGGGTTCCGTCCCACGGGTCCCCAAAGGCTCACCCAGGGGTGAAGAGATTGGCCCAGCCGGGGATGAACTTCGGGTCTCGGAAGAAGAGGAGGATGGCGAACATGCAGAAAAGCACGAAAACGGCCTGCTCGGCAAACCTGCGGCACAGATGTGCGGGCACATGGTGACTGTGGGCTCGGGCGGGCCTCGGGGGGG